CAATAGCCTATTTTTTTCCAACCACACATAAAAATTACATTTACTAATTCAAATAGTTAATTTTAATAGTTTTATATCTGCTATTCTAACAAACATGTTCCAATGCAGTGCATAAAACAAGGCAAACTCTGGACATCAATGGGCCAAGTAAGATCACAGTAAAGGCTTAAAATATTGAAAATATACCCACCAAGTATAATTTGCTGCCATTAAACATGACAAGTGCTATGAGAAAAGAAAATTCCAAACAGACTGAATCAGACAAATGAGAGTGATATTTGATTACCCAATTTATTATGAAAATGTACAGAGCATTTAACGGTAGGACTTCTGGTAGCGAGCACGAGCTCCAGGTCCACCGAACTTCTTGGACTCGCAGCGACGAGGATCGGCCACCAACAAAGTCCTGTCGTACTGGATCAGGATGTCTTTAATCTCCTTCTTAGAGGCTTCATCCACATCTGCCGAAATATTAAAACAAGACCACATTAATCATTTTAACTCAAAGCCATTTCCAAGACTATGGACAGGAAATGTGGAAAATGTCAAATTGGCCTTGTTGATCCATCACAATAAACTGAAGATAAAAATCTGCATTTAAAAAGGTTTCAAAACTTTGAAAAACATTCCCAGAATTGTGTTTTGTTTCATTCACATGTTTGAGTAATACTGCATTATTAGTCTGTCTACATCTTCAAAGTTCAAAACACCATGAAGTGGTAGTTTAGGTTTACTGCTACCTTTAATCTGGTGTTCAGCAGAGATGGGCAATTCCTGGGCTAAAATTATCCCAATAATTCTAGTGAAGGTGTATGGAGTTTAAAACACTGGAGCACTTCATGTACTACTACATGACAACACAAGGTCAAAGTGTTTTCTATTTGAGCCTAAATATGCAAGGTTTGTGTGTTAAATGTGTGTGAATGAAACACTGGGTACATTTTTGATGAGAAAAACATAACAGACCAGAAAATGCCATAAACTGGGCCTTTTAATAAGGTTTTAACATAAACTACCTCAGCTTTTAATGCCCAACACAGAAACAGGATGTACTCATTTGAAATGTTAATGTACCCATTAGATTTAGTCATTTTAAGTGATCATAAGGCTGAACCAGACCATATATGAGTGGTCATAGCTAACACACTAGCTGCCACATGCCAAATAGGAAGTTCGCCAGGAGGCTCTTCCAGCTCCTTCTGACCATGGCTCGAATTGACTTACATTAGGCTCTTGTCGCCCCTCTAACTGCTGCAGTGAGCCTTATCATTGAGGTCTTAAAATGTTTGTATTAACCTACTCTATATCCTGAATTTTTTTTTTTGCCATTTTGTCCATCAAAAAATCCTATTCATAATACAGAGGCTGGCTCCAGAGTCGCTCCTCTAACAATTAGCATCACGAGCCTCATTTGAACGGCTTCTTTTATACAGTCTATGGGCTGATCTGTAAGTGATATTTTACAGCAACATTTACAGATGACAGACAAAAACACAGTGTATTTTAGCATATTAATACTTACACTTCTGGTAGTATGCGACCAGGGCTTTGGAGATTGCCTGACGAATAGCTGCAAATGAAAATGAACAAATTAACATCCTGTGCAGGTAAAATCAGGTTGGAGTGTAGAAAGTTTACAAACCATAGATTTGAGCAACATGTCCACCACCCTTGACTCTGACTCTAATGTCCACACCAGCAAAACGCTCCTTGCCAAGCAACAGCACAGGCTCAAGAAGCTGTACAGAGGGAAAAATTGTATGTTGGGCAACATCGAAAAACATTGTCTAAATTATTTGATGCATCAGTAAGGCATGAAAATAAATGACATTTATAAAGACAGCTTCTTATGGGGATGGATTGAGTAATGGTTAGGTTTAATAGAATTATAGAGTGTCAGAGTTACACTGCGAGTACCCACAGAAGAGATTTTATAAGACGTACCTTGTACTGGAGGGTGGCAGGCTCCACCATCTCAAGAGGTCTGCCGTTTACCTTGATCAGACCATTTCCCCTTTTGCAGTGGGCGACTGCTGTGGCGGTTTTCTACAAAGAAACGTTTTAAGCCAGAAGAAGACAAGGTCAGATATGAAGGGAAAAAAAATCTACATAATTGTACATGATTGTCAGTCAGATGCAAGATGTATGCATAGCATGCCATTCCAAAACCAAACCGGTAAACCGCTTTGAGACGCGAATTTGTCAATTATCCATTTCATACAGGGTAATGCCAACCAGAATACACCACGGAACAAAATCTTTAATATTAACGAACGATACTGTTGTATTACAACTAAAATAAAAGCGGAAAGCTCGTACGCTACCGCAAGGCCAGATAGCAGTAGCCATAGCAGTAGCACCACACGTGTAAATCCTTATGGAGATTTACTTACTTTACGTCCAAAAACCTGGACAGACTGTAAGGGACCTTTAGCCGGCATGTTTCTGAAACAAACAGGGCACAGTACTTAACATATAAACGTAAAGATACGACTTTTTTTTAAGGTTTATTCGTGATCAAACTGGGAGCATACCGTCTTCAGCTCGGGCTGCCGTACGGAGAGATCGATGGGGTTTCACGCGCTGCACATCAGGGGCTGGTTTACGACAGATACATACACTTTCCGGTGCATTTACGACATTTTTTCATCCAACAACCACCATTTTACAGAGTACATGTTTGTGGTTTAATTTAGTGGTAATGTAAATTGGAAAATTATTATCATTGGTAATTGTAATATTCTAAAAGTAAAAGTGCTTTATCTTTTACTATATAAAGTAAAGGTAGCTAATTGTATCACGAATGGGCTTTAGTAATAAGCAAACTACACTGTACATGTTTAATTTAATGGATGGTAGACATGCCATCATGGATATATATGGCTATTGTGGCGTGGTAAGAAATCCATGTCATTTATGCGTTCGGTTCTTGATTTTTTTGTAGACATTAGCTAAATGTCGCCCCCTTGTGCTATTTAAGATGAGTCACACGCCATGGTCACACGTTGTATATCCCCTATTCCTATTTTATTCATGTAATGCAAACTATGAGGGCCAAATGCGGCATGAAATTATAAATGTACAGGCCGTGTATTGTAGGATTAAAGAAGATAGTAATCTGTATTCGGTGATGTAAAATGTTTCCTGCGATGCCTACCTTCTTGACATTTAGGTTAGGGCAGTTAAAATAGTGTTTATACTGTCAGCTTGGATGAACAGGCATCTGGCTTATTTTACAGTCAGGAGGAATGAAGTTGGAGGTAAACATGTGGTCTCATTGTCATCAGAATTAACACAGCCAGGGTGAGTCACAACTCTTACTACATAGGCTTCTTATACAGTTTTACACTTACACTTTCTTGTGGTTCATGGCATGCATTTGCTCATAGTTTAATCATTAGCCACAAGGGGTCGGTAAATCAACCTCATGGAGTCATATCTCATGACTGTTTAATGTCATTGTAACAAAAAATTATACCCCCTTTTTCTGATAAGTTATGTATTTTGCTTGAGAATGGGGAAATAACAACCTACTTAAAGGTGCACTATGTAACATTTTTGGTAGGGGATCTACCATCAGTTTTTCTCCATGGAGACATTATGGCTTTGCCTCTATTGCTATCTCCATGGGAAAAGAAACATGTGGCAGGTTTTCCACCAGTAAAGTTACATACTGCACCTTTAAGCATGGGGAATGCAAATAGATCAGTGTTTAGACTACTGACTATACAATACTAAAATTGACAAATTAGGCCTGCCTGCTCCATTACATGCATGAGTCTTGCACTCCGTATGCCCTGCCTTAGTGTTCACATACGTCAAACTTGGGGCCAAGAGATACTATACATAATGGATGCATTATAGAATGAACATAATTAAAATGGATTGTGTTATTGCTGCCAAAATCCTTCCAGGTTACTCTCTGCTTTAGATTTTTCTGCTCCAAACTTTTATGACACCACAAAAATTATTTTATAGTATGCAGAACCCTTTAGTTAAGTAATCATGATATTATTTAGACTTTTTTATATAATCTTGCCAATTGTTATCCTACGTCATTCTGTTTGCATACACTTGTAATGGTAAGATATGGTCTCCTTGATGTAACATAGCCAGAGGACTTGTTATGGGGGAGAGCTGCAGTGCTCACAGAACAGGGAGAGCCTGTAGTCCTCTAGTTAAACAGTTGGTAATAAATAAAGACCGGACCATATATGTACATTTCCTTTCCACAGTTCTATGGAAACACATCACCTGGAGGCATGACCCCTCGACCTTGTCTTGTCACAGCACTCTGAGCATGAGACAACGCTTTCAGATTTACAGGGGAGGAGATGCTGTTCCCGGGCCGGCTGCAGTGTCTCATTTGACCATAATAGGCCTTGCACTGGTTGAAAAAGTGTTGCGGGTAATTGAAGTTTCCCCGAGCAGCAAAAAGAAGATCTGTTAAGCCCAGTAGGCGTTTAACAGGTTTTGTGAGGTATACACAAGTGTGGTCGTCATGGTAAAGGGGAAAACTCTTTGAGCTTGTGAAGCAGAAAAAGTGTCTTCTCTGAGAAATAGCGATGAATCTCCCAAGACAAGAGACCTATCATTCAAGGCAGCAGATCTTACCTTTTATATCCCTAAGGATGAAGCCATAAATACCTTCTTTTTATCTTGTAATCTTTTATAGTGCCTATCTGAAGAAGCAACAAGTTCTAGGTAGTTGTTTATATTACTAATCAGACATTTGATATAGCCTATACAGGCCTAATATAAAACAGATCACATATATTTTGAGGCATAAAGTAAATATTATACGATAGTTTTTATTACACTTGAACGATTAGAGAGTAGAGATGAGCAGATTACAAATAGCTATTATATTGTATATGTGAATGATGTATTGAAGGTTTGGTTATATGAGAATATAATTTATGATATAAAATGCTGCAAAAAGAGCTAATTAAAAAAGAAAATGGGAAAAAAATTATGTTGTAAATTTCCAAATAAGGGTGTAAAGTGATATTTTTGTATTTTTATTGGTAAAGTTACAGCCATTTCACATTTATCTGATCCTTAAACCTCAACTAATACATTTGACATATTTTACCACATTTCTGTCATATTGATAATGTAATATTGTCTGTTATTGGGACACGGAAAAAATATTGCGATTCAATAACGACCATCTACAAGCATTATTTTAGCATCAGTGAATTATTATTTACGCTATATGCATTTGTCAGCAATTGATGTGAGTAACAAGACAAGAGGCTAAGTGGTTACCATGTTGAAGGCATTGAAGTTCTGTTAGGGAGCATTTTAAGATACAGGAATCATACTAACACGTGCAGTTTATGTCACATATTTTGGTATATTAGGGAATAGAGGGCCCAAATTGGCTAGTGCTTTTGTTTAGACAGAGGTGGGAGATTTATTGAGGTTTGTGAATTACCAGATTCATGGTTATATGGAGGTGTGTGACAACCTATGAAAAGAAATAGCCAAAAGGAAAAAAATACAATTTGATTGTTGAAAATAATGCAGTATTTTAAAGTTTGATAAAATGCTTTGCAAAATTTTCAGTGGTGATATTCAAAGAAAAATACATGCTAAATCCATTTTGTGTGTCTGTGTTACATGGCAGCGGTAAATATTGATGTTTGAAGTTACAGTAATAAATCTGGTTGTTCTCAAATGTAGCTTGATATTGAACCCTGCACTGGACATGAGCCCTTCCATTAATTTGGCTATTTCAGCAGGCATTTGCCACATAGCAACAATCCCTGCAGCTGTCCCATGCTTTGTCAACTCCCATTAGGCCTTGAAGGGGCCTCTGGATAATACTCCATGACCTCAATTATGCAACATATACATTGTCTTTTTATCCAGAATATTAAGGACAAAGTTAGAGTTTATATAACATACAAAACAGAACTGATGTTTTGTGCTTTTGAAATGCATTTTTTCATTTCCACTAGAACTATACATTTTACAATATAGAAGGCCAAGACTTACTTTAGCTATAAATTTGATAAAAGCCCTTACTGTAATTGTATTTGTGAAGCTGATTTGGCTATACAAAATATCAAAAACCTTTCACTAGCCATTTGTCTGTACTGTTGCTGGTACTTCCCCTCCATCAATCTCACTCCTCTGCATGTGCTCTGCTCACCCACACAATGTGCTACATCACCCGCCTCTGCGCTTCTTCTGTCTCAGGCCTGGTTTTGAACTACTATCCACTCACTCTACCACCCTCTGTACCACCATCTCCAGTTTTTTCTTTTCCCAATGTGTTTATATTTGAAACACTGAGCTCCAACCCTTTTTTTGTCCTATGACAAAATCTGGTAATCATGAAATAATTATTACTACTGATTACTACTGCTGCTCTGATTCTCTTTGCGGCCTGCATGTGCCTGCATGCACCTATTAAATAGTCCTTACTCTCCCTTAATTTATAGTGTGCTGTCATATCTAATATAGCCATTACTGAAAAATACTTCTATTTTTATTTAATGTGTATATTTTTAGACATTTTTTTAATAAGGGAGCACTAATTGTAGTAGCTGATTTGCATTAAAGTAATATTAAATATTTGAATACAGTTTTGCCACTTTATTTTAAGTAATTTTCAGGGTACTGTTTTTCAACAATGTTGGAAAAACTTGTATTTGTATTTTTTGTTATATTGTTGTATTCAAAGATAGCATGAATTTGCTCGTCAGTATTACCACTTAATCTGTTTACTGCTGTAAGTACCTATGATTACTTTGTGAGCTTTGGTATGTAATGCATTAACCCTATGTGTTATTCTGTTCTCTATGGGAGTGAAGACTGCGCTGGTGGGAAGCTCCGATGGGAAAGTGGGCCAGTGCTTTGAGCCCTCCACTGGAGAGCTCCATAAAAGGTCTGAAGAGATGATGTCGTGGACTTTCTCCTTCCCCTCTGATGTTTTCTCTGCAGAGGAGAAACCCAGCAGTGAACAGAGAAACAGACTGCGGCCAAAGTCATCTTGCATATCTAAGAAAAACTGATTACTTAATTTAGCTGAAATCAAAGTATCGATATGATAAACTCTCCCTTCTGTAAACAGTATAGCTTTATAGTTTTGAGAGTATGTCTAAGAGGAACTTATTGAATAGTTTGAAGTATTATAGGGTAAAAATGAGGAAGAGGTTAGAGCTCAATGCAACAGGACATTTCTACCTTGCCCAAGTTTTGTTTTAGTGAAACATGTTTATCTGAATAGAACTCAAAATCTCTATGCCAATGTTACAATTTTATTGCTAAAAACAACTTATATGGGTCAGGTAGATTTGGCACCTTGTAATAAAAATAATAAAAACACAATAAAATTCATTAATTTTGTTATAAAGTACTGACAATAATTTTTCCCACAGCTTTTTATATTCATAATAGTGGCATTTAGCTCTAACCCATTACAGACCCCAGCACAGTTCCAGATATGTCCTATTATTAGCCATCTTTCTTGAGGAAACAAGGTCGCTCAAACACTCTTGTCTTATTGGGCTGTCATTACTTCAACATCCCATAGGTCTGCTGCTTACACTGTGTCACTGCCCATATAGACATACCCGAGATAATGTTCCTAACCTTTTAATTCGGTTAGCTCAATCAAGCACCCATTGTTATTGGGTTTGGCACAGACAGAGGACAATCAAGTAAGTGGTGCTCTAGCTGCAGTGCTCCTGATGAAGTAAAAGTGGCTAGCCTATTTCTGTCCAGTGTCTAACTCTCAGCTGTTGCCTACATAATACTAGATCACCTCACAAACTCACAAATTACCAGTCCCCCCAGAAAGACCACTGCCCTTTTGTCTTCACGCATCATTAATTAGTGGCACCACTGATAGCTTTTTATATTGTGTGTAATAGAAATGGTTGTGCTGACATATTTCCTTCCATGTTGACCTTTATGGGATCATTTGCATTTCCCCTTGTATGAATATGATTTCTCTCAATTTCTCCATAGTTGTTAAATTTCTTTGAATAATTCCAAAAATGTCTTGTAGTATATAGGAGATAGGTGGGAATATTTGAGTTGACTGAGTGATTGTGATAGATAGTGTTTTGTTTGTTTCATTTTGGTAAAAAAAAAAATTAAAAAAGAATATGCCACGACAGGCCAATTTCTGCACTTATAGTGCCATCACATTACAACATTACAAAGATTCAAGGCACCGAAATCATCATCAATATTAGTAAATGATAATAAATATTGATAAATAAGTAATCTCATATCTTCTTTACCTTCATTAATTGCTGTTTTTGTCTTCCAGATAGTGCTCTTGTATGGGGCTTGAACTGGAGAGGAGCATAGTACCACCAACACCAATAGTCTTCGGTTGATGGAGCCCACAGGAAACCATTATCTCGGTCCTCTCTGATGTGATCAAGGTGTCAACACTTCAGAAGGCAGGCTTCTGAGAAACTAAAATGGAGAACATAATCTTGCGTTGTTACTCATATAGTAGTGTTTTTTAGCATTACATAATTAATTTGAAATTATGTGTGAATAATGCGAGTAGGCAATAAGGTGAAAATATATATAGGCCTATAGGCCAATATCAATAGCTGAAGAAGCCATACTAAGATGTGGACTGGTTATGTGTGTAAACTACCCTTAAGTTACTTACGTAATATTTTCAAGAGCCCATGTCTTATTTGGTGCTCATGGTGTGTAAGGATTACCCTGCTCACTCTCGCCTCATAATCTGCTGATGATGACGTTATACTGCAGCTGCTGAGATGCAGTTCTCGCGAGACTTTGAAACAACTATCCAGACGCCCTCTGCCTTTCGCTCGCTGCGATACCCCCTCCTCGCCTGCCCTCCCTTCCCACGCCCCAGTGCGCTGTGGGATAGTGGCACTATAAAGTATATCCTCTCTCGGAGAAAGATAAGAACCCCGAGACAGGAGGGGGATGAAGATGGCGGACGCCAAGCAGAAGAGGAACGAGCAGTTGAAGCGATGGTTAGGCTCGGAGACGGATTTGGAGCCTCCTGTTTTGAAAAAGAAGAAGACGAAGGTGAAGTTCGATGATGGCGCCGTGTTTCTGGCCGCCTGCTCAAGCGGCGATACCGAGGAGGTGCTCCGTCTGCTGGACCGGGGCGCTGACATCAACTACGCCAATGTAGACGGCCTCACAGCTCTCCACCAGGTTTGTGGTTAACTTCACTGGATGTACAAACACTCGTTACAACGACAGTGCTACACAGCACAAATGTCTGCTTGTCCTGGAACACCTGTCAAATGGAAGCCATTCTCCTCCTGTTGTTTACCTACTGACCAAAGTCGTCCATTTCAAGACGATCCCCAACACTCCCCACCTGATGATGGGAACCTTAACCTGACGTATGTCCAGTGGTCACCTGCATGTAGTTATTGGTAAAACGAGGACAAAGCCACAAACTAAAATGTTTGCCTCCCTGTACACTTCATTGCTCAGTACAAACTAGCTAGCCTGTTCCATAGCCACAGCTAGGAACAGTTTATGTACTGCTGGTTTGTTGTCTTGTTGTGTTGTAAATTATTGTTAGATCAAGATTTCAAATACACAAAAGACTGTTGTTTTTGATCAACTCTGCTTTCGCGTATTTGAGAGAAAATGCCAACAATATATCTCTTTTAGTTAGTTCATTCTCGAGACCCAAATATTTTCCACAACCATGGCTACAATCGGGCTATCGACTTGGAAGTTGTGTTGATAAATCCTACCGTCACCTAGTTTCTTGTAATGCTTTTGATGCCTTTTCACTTACCACAATATGTAGGACTATTGTATTTGAATCTATTGGTAGTTCATGAGACGGGCTGTCGCCAATAAAAACGTACTGAATCGTTCTTTCGTGTTGGCTACCTGCATAGTAAGCTAATGTAGCGAACAAGCTAAGCTAAAAGGAGCTAGCATTTTAGAGTAGCGCGACGTATTTTTACAGATATTTGTCAGCCAATATATTTATCCACACCGTCCTTATATTTGTTGTATTCGTTGTTTTGACAAACTGGCGCAATAAATGTCATAATCTGACTGAAATCTCGGTTTTCGCAGAATGCTAGCTAGCTGTGCCTGCCCTTTATTTGTATCCCATGAGCATAAATACAACATAGTTCATCACACAAAACTGTTCTTGTTCTATACTAAGTATACTACCCTCAAATAAAATACCATGCGTATGCGGCTAATACATAATAAAATATATCCTCGATCTGTCTTCTAAATTGTATTATCAAGAGTCGTGTGTCTTGATAATACAATACAGTTTAGGTGGATACCTAGATAATACTTGGCTAGATATCCACCTAAACCTAGTAATTTTTTTGGCTGTTGATCTTGTCGCTGAGATAGCATGTTAAAGATGCAGTTTAATTTGTGAGATTTCAGCTTTTTTGTGCCATCAGCTACAGAGATCTATGCATATGCATTTAGTTTAAACGGCACTGTAAGTTTTAATTTCATGACAGTAAATCACATCATTCTTACATTGATTAGAAAAGGCACCGTGATAGGAAATAGCTTAAAATATTATGTCACCTCTTTACTCATGGCAACATGTCTGGTCTTGTAAACTTGCATATTAATCATTTCTAGCCCACTGTTGTACAGATGCAGTTTCAAGTTTCGCTTCAAGCATTATTTATTGTCATCACAGGGTTAAAACTATTAACATCCCCAGCTGCACATACTGCATATGTATAAAGTCAATTAAGTCAGTGCTATATTTTACAGTGCTTTTCATTTGAAAATGATTGCTGCAAAATGTGAAGATACCTTTATGAAGCACTGTTAAGCTCTGTAGGAAATATGGAATTAATTATTTTTAAATGTAGTAATGAGCTGGAGCAACTCTCCATAGTATTCCTGATCTAGCTACATGAAGCTTCAAACTTGTTGTAAATTGCATTTTTTTCAGTTCTTCAGTTGATCCTCCTGAATTGATTGATCCGTGAAATTGCCGACCAGTGTGGATGACCAGTGCACAACTGTTGATTCCCCTGCCACAAGTTCATCCAAACTGTGTTT